GTGTGGTCTGCCCTCTGTTTGATGCAATGAATAAAATACAGTCGCACGTCAGTTTTAATATTTACGGCTTATTAAAGACTGTTACAAAAAATAACAGTCAGCACGAAGCTGGATATATCGTCTAAGAAGCTCGTGTAGATAAAGACTATGTTATTCGATTCAGATTTCAGCTGCGTATAAAGTAAATAAAATCCATTTCTATATTTCCGTCCTACCGCCAACGCCACACGATTCGTAAATAAAAATGCACAAGATACACCAACAAATCGTCGCTTTAAAATCACGCCATAAATTTATACGTTGTCCTTGAATATTCGTGCAAGTTAACGAACTTACGACGATTTCAATCTTTTAAATTGAATAAAAAGAACTAAAATTTGGTACGTTTAAAATGAAATCTCTTTAATGTTATAAAAAATATCGCACACATTGCAAAAGATCAGAAGGCATTTGGCGTGGGCACCAATGACCTATGAGTAACCGTGGTTTTTGACAAACAAAAAAACACATTCACAAGTAATACGACCATGAGTTCGCATTGCTTAGTACAAAACTTATGTTATATTTTGTACTATTATACTCTGCCTAATGGAAGGGGGTTTCAGTATAAAAATAAGTTAAATAATCAATATTATTCTCTATCCTTTTCTTTGACCTCGTTATATGACACGAGTCTACCCTTTTTCCCCAGTTTTAATTTATTTTGTACGCCTCGATAACGTCTGTAATTATTCACAATTATTATTACAACAATGTAACAAATTAAATATTTCAGAGATGAAGGTAATTTAATTAGTACCTTACTATTGTATCACAATATTTCCGATTTGAACATTTTTGGTTATACGTTATGAAAAAATAAAACTATGTTCATTTCATTGCACCCATTTCGTCGAAAACGTTCCAATGCCCACCTCGTTCGCTTTGTGTGTCTGAGAATGAATTATTTATTTACTGCAAAAGCTGCTACCGCAAAAAAAATTATTACAGACTATGGCAAAGGAATTATACTAATACGGATTATTGACGGTGTTTTATTAATGTAACACCACTTGAAGCATAAAATTCATGAATATTCATATCATAATTTCTTAACCAAAACAAGCCTGAATACGGTATAAAGCACAATCATTTTTATTGATCTCCTATTGTTGAAAGCAACCAATGCCGAGCGTGGAGGCAATTCGTATACTGAGAACTGCAGAGATGGCGGCTTAGCAATTAACATCACTGTCCTTGAATGTCAGACGACCTTAGGGCACAGCGCTCGAGTTATGCATAAGAATCAAACGCTAAATTGGGGCTCCGGCAAAAACTGGTTGGTTCACTTCTCCGCGGTGACGTCAGCCGACCGCAACGCGCCAGCTTCCGATGATCCCCAGGATACAGAAAACGACAGTTAAATCCATGCCCCCCACTACACGGACGAACTCTGAGAAGATTTTGAATCTCGATTCAAACTCGCCTTCTATTAATTCACCACAATTTGTATCACGACGTCTCCATACCTTTATTTCTGTGACTGCTCTCTGTAAAAAAAAGATAAGAGGTTAAAATTACAAGTTAATATAAGATGCCAAAACCGTTTATAGGTTAACGAAATAATATGTAATACTAGCTGCTGCCCGGGACTACGTCTGCGTAGAATAGGCTGACAGAAAGATACATAAAATATGTATATAAATTATAGCCTATGTCTTATTCTGATGTATAAGCTATATTAATGTAAAGTTTCATTAAAACCCATTCAGTAGTATTTGCGTGAAAGAGTAACAAACATCCATCCATACATACAAACTTTCGCCTTCATAATATTAGTAAGGATGCCTTAATTACATTATATTACACCAATGACAAAAACACACCTATGTTCATCATAAACGAATTAAAAATAATTAAAAAAAATAGTAATAGTCATCCAAGTTTTAATTATCTTATTCATAATGGTGTTCAGAATTACTCAGCTGAAATGATCTTAATAGCATAATCATATATATACACATTGCTTGTTTGAGTTCCTTAAAGTATTTTATTACTCCTCTTCGATTCTAATTTCGATAATGTAATAATTTTACTTGTTCGTTTTGTAACCAATTTATGTATAACTTTCATATGAATTATCGTTTTGAATTAAAACAAAACAGCCGGGACAGAGCATCGGCAATTGTCCACTTAAGTTTCAACGGCACTTGCCATTGACTGCTGTTAATAGATCAATTGAAACTGATACTCACACTGCCTTATAATATGCATATAACCTCAATAAACCAGCCCTCAATAAAACCTCATACTTGATAACTGTGGACCGTAAATAAACACCATAGCATGGGGATTCGTAACAATAAAACCGAACATTGAAAGGTACTAATTTTAATGTTATTATGGATATTTTCATGTATTAAATGGTGGAAGGCAAATACTCGGAGTCCCACAACACGGGTTTATATTAAATTGGACACAAAACCTTTAAGTTACTAACAAGCGAGAACGATAACGATGTCACAGCAACAAAATATTTCAGAAGTAGCGTAACGACAAGCTAAGAGAGTTGTTTTAAACGCCGTGTCAACTGTCATCAATATTAGATAATTAAAAGCGCCCATCGCTGAAAATAAATAACGACCAAAATGTAATACCGTATTGAAATCGATATTTTTTCTAGATTTCTTTACAAACAATTTAAGTAATGGGAATGATATTCAGTTACAATTAATACTAACAGAGAAAAAGCCATAGAAAATATGCATACTTTGAAAACATTTTGGGAATTCAAATAGCATTTCGAAGTCATTATATTCGATGACCAATGGTCGGCCAAGGTCATCAGAAAACTTTTGGTTATTGAAAATGGGTTAAAACTTTCAATAAGTGTAATAATTTTGTTACCCACAAACGTTTAAATGACTAATCAGTCAATTTATTAAAACTTATGAATTACATTAAAAGTTATGAATAACAAACAATTAATTAACATCTTGCGTCCTTCACTTTAACAATTATTACTTGATCTGATGTTTTTTTGACGAAATTTAATGTAGTTTTATTCAAATAACGTAAGTACCTATTACTTTATTAAAAAATTTTAATGTTTCAAGCACTTTTAACATAAAAGTTAAGGTTTGGAAAGGCGTTATTATTCCTATTTCATTTAACAACAAAGGAAAATTCCGCTGATCAGTCAATGGCCCACATTACGCTCAGTCATCACTTACGTATCCGAAAATGTGATGTGTGAATTAACGGTTGTTTATCCCACATTCGGGTTCTCTTTGGCAGTCAAGCTTTGTGTTGCTTCTCTGTTGAAATGTTAAAACAATTAAAACGAAGCCGATGATATGATTTTCTGATCTCGTTATTACGGTCAAAATTAATAGATATGGGCAAGATATTCCAAATGAAAAGACGGTAGTTCAAGGTTATTGTTGTGTTACCTATCACTGGGTATATATCACTGGGTCTTAAGGGGCCTTAACTTAAATTTTCATCGTATACTGGATGGAAGTCTAAGACGATGCATCATACATTTGACTCGTTTTAAAACTTAATGAGTGAAATGATTTCGAGTTTTGGTCTAAAATATAATATGATACAGTTTTAACCCCAAACTATTGATAAAGACAAATTTATATGTAATATACATATATTTTCTTTTTTTTACTTTATGTAAATTCTTTATACAATATTCAAATTATATTTTACAAGTGTTTTCATTGAATTAAATTACTATCTGAATACAAATGTCTGAAAGCACATCTCTAAATTAATTAAAAAAAAATTATTTATTCGTACAAAAGGAATAAATATGGAGATATTACAAAATTAGCAAAACTATACTTTAGATGTTTTGCCCACTTCATAGCTCGAAGTATTTCTGCAAATCGTTATTGTACGGTTCAATAGTTATTATAACAATTAGGATATAATACTAAAAATATAAAATTCACAGTAACATTTTCGTATTTCATATTTCGAATAAAAAGTAATCTATATGTTTCCTAGAGAAAAAACAGTTTATGTTTTTCTCTCTCCGGATGTTAAAATTTGGACAACCACATATTTACATACTGAGCGACCATTAGGCACTAATAAAACGATGAAAAATATTAACAATATAGGCGTTGTGCTCATTGCTCTGTATCGTATCAAATTGTTAAGATAAAACCATCTTTTCTGTGAACTTAACCTCAAGGCAGGGAACCCAACATTTATTTCTTCAACCACTACGATCTGTGTGACCGGAAATTAACAAAATTCCGAATAAATTACATTACACAAGTTTTCAACGCCGCAAAAAAATATCGAAATATAAAAGTTAAAAGTTAAATGAAAAAAAAAAAAAGTGTTTCTCAGCGTTGCGAGTTCTATTTACAGCCCAAAAGTTTTACCCAATGCTCTAATCACTAAGATATCGATGTTAACATCGTAATTACTAACCGCAAGGTTTATTATGGGCTGTCTGTATCAATGAACCTTATTTCTAGTGAGTAATGTTCATTGTTCTAACGAATGTTTTGTTTAATACAGATCTCAGATTTCTTTAATTCATCAATAGATGATAACATTGTAACCGCAAGGTTTTTTTATTGGCTACCATGAATGACCCTTATTGTTAATTAGTAATGTTTAATGTTCTAACGTCTGTTCTAGGCCTCAGATTCCATTAATTTATCAATTCATGCACCAGTCATAATTGTTTAATATATAAATATTTATTCGGTTAAGAGATATAATGAAAGTGAATTCATATGTTCGTCTAAATCAATGCTCCCATTACTTCATACTACGTTTTACCACATGCCCCACGGTGACCATACACCGTGATAAATCCGCCTACATAATATAGACAACCGCTAACAGACACAAAGAGCCTTCCATACCCTCTATACAGACGAGGCCTGGCTCAACCCACTGGTGGGTAATAACATTTAACCCAAGCGTAACAACAGCGTAAACGAGCAGGCTTTACGTATTACAATAGGTAAGTTCACTTTGAGTGGCTACAGCCAGCGCAGTGGCATAGGTCGATATTCGGGCAAAACGATCGATATCGATACGAGAACGGGCGCGGTGTAGCGCGGCACGCGTCCGCACTGATTCAGCGTTGACCTTCGGACGAAAGCGAAACCGGTGTGGGTCGTCGAGCCGGGGCCAAGCGTCGCCGCCGCGCCGGACTGGCTTCGATCGCGTTCGCTTTCGAGACGGCATCCTAAACAACGGCGGGCTCTGTGTGAGCTAGCCGCCCCACTGGCCGCGACACGGTGCCTCCATTCGCTGCCCGCCGCAAGGACTAAGTATGCGGTTAACTGAACACTTGTATTACCAATCGCCACACAAATCGGATAAAATTAAATATACGCCTGCCTGCGTATATTCCCGAACTTATAGACATTAAGAAACTTTTGATTCATAAACGTTTTTTTCTATCTCGGACCGCGCCGTCGCTCTTTGACTTTCGCAAGGTTAAAGTGTCCGTGTTACCTAAAATCCCTTAGACGAATGTCTTTGTTTATTATCTATGCTATAATTGATCTACGGAAAAGGGGTTTGTAATTATTGGGCGCAAGTTTTAAGAGATATAAAATGAGAAACACTGAAACAAACAAACAAAAAATTCCGTATATATAGTCAATTACATAAAATTTCTGTCCATTTTAAGCTTACCACAACCTTACCTTAAGTACACGGGACACAGAGTTCTGGTGGCGATGGCGTACTGCATATTTACGTTTCCGCTAGTCCAGAAACGTGATATTATTAATGGTATTATAACTAAATAACGAATAAATGAATATTTCAGGAAACATTTTTACACTACTGTATCTAGTTCCAAACGAAGCAGAGCTTGTTCTATGGGCACGAGTTAACAGATAAACATAGCGTAAGAATATTACATAAATAAATACATATCATAGACAGTAGAATAACACTAAGTTCTTTCCAGCAATTTTCAATTCACGGTAGTGATGATTGAACCCAACCCCTTTGGTTTTAGAGGCAGGTTTACTATCTACTACAACAATCGATGTTACCAACATACAACTTAAATAGGTCGTGAACTATGTATGATTCCTTTAATAAAGACTTTTTTTTTACCATACAAAAGACTTTATTTCTCGTTTTTATAGATAATGGTACGGAACCTTTAGTGCGGGAGTCCGACTCGCACTTGGCCGGGTTTTATTTATGTTTTAGTAATAACTTAATGCTCAAATCCTGTCTATTAAGAGTTTTAAGAAAAATATTAAACAAATTATTTTTAAAATAAGTTTATTATATTATAAATGACGAATGCATTAATGATAATAACGTATAATATTTGTCATTAAATAAATTATACTGTACAATATTTTGTGTAAGAAAATGACAAAGAAAGAAAGAGAAAATGTTCAGATTTTGTTTCTCCTGTTCTTCTCCGTTAGAGGAACCGGTATGAAACCGTGGTGAACTAAAAAAAATTACTATCGATAGATGAAGTTTATTTCGATGAATAAATTATTTTAATAAAAAAATTATGTTAACCTTTGGCTGAGGTAGTTCTTACCTCTAACAAGTGTCCACTTATAATCAGACTGTATAGAAGTCTTGAATTAGTTGAAGAACTATTGAATTATTAAAATATACATATAATTTTTATATGTGATAAGGCCGCAGCAGTCTTCACTTTAGCAAATCCGTCCGGGGAAGTACCTCACGAAATGGAAGTTATATATTTCTGCCTTTCATCTGATGAGTGAGGTAGCCGGGGCCCCCTTTATTATAATGTGGCAACGCATTTGCAACCCTTGCTTGCAAATACGTCGCCAAATTTGCATTGCTCGCTTGCCACCTTCAAATTAACAAATTAGTTAATTTTATATCTTTACACATTACAAGAAATTTTGTCGTGTGCACAGGACAATCTCTGTCCGGTCCGCTAGTACATATATGTATATATATAACCTCCATGCCCCATTCTATTCAGACATATTTTATTAAAAAAGGTACACAAACAGGAATAAAAAAGGATATATATATATATATATATTTCTTAATATAATAGGGCATGGAAGTTATCCTTTCAGTCCAGAGAATATATAAAACTTCATCTAATAGCGAAACCAGATCGTTTTGTCGTATAAACTTAATATCCCTTAAGTAAGACTGATCACTGCATTTCCTTTTAAAAGTTTCCTTTTAATTCTATTATTTTTCTCAATATTTTACTATTTATATTTAGGACCTTGTGTTGTCACGTTTAAGTCACCTGTTGCTTTATCGTCCAAAGTGGTCACAAGATAGAGTTATATCAATATATATGTATATTTGAATAATAAGAAAAACAAGTCGATTTAAAGTACCGAAAAAGTTATTTTTTTAATAACAACGACGCTATAAAAGAAATTTTATCCAAACTGGCATCCAATATCTTTGCAAGAAACTTTTAATAACTAAAACATCGGAATCAAGTCTTCCAAGTTTAAATCCCAGTGCCAGCACTTTAGTGACCCTTACGAGTAATGACTACATGGATGGCGCAATACCTTAAGTGGTCATTTTGACAATTACCATTGCGCACCGTGATAGCTTTATTTTTTTTAATCATAAAAAATAGTATTACATATACACATAAGAAACCCTACGTCAGTGCTTCCTTCGCAACAATACCCGGACTGTAGAGTTATCCCTGTCACACGCACTTTCTGCGACGTAGTGTACTGAGATTTCATGTTCTTTTTTTACTCTCCGCGACAGAGAAAACTAGGGATAGTACGGAGAAGTTAACTTGATAAAAAGAATTCTTTCTCGCAATTTTATATAGTTATTTGTGCATATATAAGATTCATGTGCCATCCGGTAAGGAAAATTGGTATGTCTATGTAATCGTAGTCTACTAATCTACTATCGGACCGCTTCTTGACATCGTCTAGTATCTGTAACTATTCTAATAAAAGAGGTCTTTTACACGGACTTTATTATTCTTTATATAATTATTGTACACAAAACACAAGATAAAAAAAGAAAATAATGAAAATGAAAATAATGTACAAAAGGTAAGCTTAACTCAATGCATGAGTTCTCTGCCAGCTAATCTGGTGAGAAAAAAGGTGATTGAAGATAGCTAGAAATGTGTTCACTCCACACAGATATTCCTACAACTTACCCTTTTTTTTGCCAAAAGTTGCCAAACGAGCAGACGGGTCACCTGATGTTAAGTGAGTGCCGCCGCCCATGGGATCTGCTACACCCGAGGGTTACAGATGCGTTGACAACCTTTCGAAAATTGGGCTCCGTCTACCTCACTCACCAGACGAAACGCGAAAGTATTTGTCATACTTCCACTTTACGCTGGTCTTCTGTGAGGTTGTGGTACTAACCTGGACGGGTCTGCCCGTTCATGCAACAACCGAGGCTCCTGCGTGACCCTACCACCGTTACATAAATGTATACATATTTTACATATTTTATAGCTCTACCTATGTGTTTATTTCATTTAGCTGTTACCGGAAGCTGTTCATATATTTTAGATAGTTTATATAAGATAGCTTCTTCCACTGCATATTTGAGACAGCTCGTCCGCCGAAGTATCACGGTCTCACTGAACAACAGCGAGAGGTGGAACGATTTATACTTTGTTTTTGGTAGTAATATGGTGAGTAACTGTGGCAGATTGCTTAATGAACTGAAGACTCACTGGCAATGCGGATATACCTGGGCAGGGGAAATGGGTAACACCAGGTGCTCGGCCATTTTGTTCACATAAAAAAAAACAAAAGGTGGGAGTTAGCCCTGTCATATTACACTAAGGGAGAATACAATCGTTTTGTTTTTATAACGATCCATTCTATAAACTGTTAATAATTATTAATTATAATTAAAACCTTCGAAGGATTGACAGATATTGTTTTTTTAGAGTGATTTGAAATAATTAAGATCACTACTACCATTCTCTATTGTGATGGTGTGCAATCAATTAAATTTTGTTAGTTTTTTTTGTGTAATGAAATAATTTTAAATTATTATTTATAATCAGCCTTTATCAAAAAACCGTCATCATGATAATGAGATATCTGTACAGTGTGCTAAAATAAATTTATAAAAATATTCCTACTTTATTTTACCGAACTAACTTTAAATGTTGCTAGGTATATTCTTTTTAGGACTGAAATACACCTCATAGTTATTTATAAGTTTTTAGTCTTACACTAACCCTTGTTAAAAAAAATTGTAAATTTAAGATTAGTTAAGTTTTATTTGATAACTTCCATTGTGGCAAAATATATTCTGTTTCATACTCATAACAATCATTTCCTTAAATTTTAATAAAAGTGCATCCTAATGAGCTTACGTAACTCGTTGATGTCTTTTACACTATCAATTACGTACATATATGTCAATATGTACACATCGCATCTTTAGAATTATAGTGACCTATTTAAAAATAGAAATTTTTGGGAAACGTATAATAAGGATTTGTGGAACTTATGAACAAACGCGCTAATTGGGGGGAAGTGAAAGAGACAGAAGTATACGTTATGTAGCTTTCCAAAATCGGTCCATGTTTTAATAGGATTCGAAAACGGTGGTCGATTCTTGACATAAAGCCAAAGTCATGATTTTCATAATTAGGTCCATTTAATTCTAAAGGTGCGACATGTGTATTACGACTATCTACTATATCTATCTATCTGCCTGCTTCTATGATCTTATTAAATGACGACATATTTTCTTGTTAGTAACAGTTTTGTTATCTGTATTACCTTTAGTTGGTGTGAAACAATTTCATCGCATTTGAACCAAATGAAATTTTTGATCTCAAAATCAAATCGCTATAGTAAATGATTATGGTTTATAATTTTCATAATAATTACGAACTGACTAAAAGTTTACCAGACATCGCTCATTTTGATGTTTTACAGAATAGAATATTCTGGGTGCTGTTTTTTTTTACTAAGAACTATTTATATAGACGTTAGTAAATAAATATATATTTAAGGTAATTTAAAAACAAGTTTTCTTCTAGCTTCGAGGGTCAGGTGGACCACACAAGATACGAGAAGAAATAAATTGAGATTTTTCAGTGACAATTCACATTTACTATATATTTCTCTATTAATTCATACCATCCTTTATAATGTTCTATTCAATGTTGGATGATATTGTCATTTAATATTGCTCAGTATTGCAAATCATATGTTCATCATCCAGTAATACTTAACCCCGTTGTCGCTGGTCTGCATCTCGAACTTGCAGCTGCAAATAGTGTCACTGTACTGTGAGTTCGTAACAAAGTCTAATTTCGTAGTGTTGCAATAACTCTCAAAGAATTAATTTGTTAAAATGATAAGTGTGAGTAATTGTATCTGAAAATCAACAGTAAATAAAAATTAAGTGTCATGTGAATAAAAGTATAAATGAGAACATTCTCTGTGTCTGGCCTCTTTTCTGTCATCCAAAAACAAAAGCACGGCTAACTACAAATTCGCAAGTCGCAGCCAAGGGTGTCAAAATGAAACAACAATCTTTCACATTAAATTTATATTAACTGACAGATCTGAAACGGGCGCTACTGCCATAACAGTAGCTTATAATAATAAAAATATTTTCATCAATACGTAATGAATGATCCCTACAATTATTTGTGTAAGCTTGTTTGTACTCATTGGTAGTTTTAGTAATCAAATCAACTTTATCTCTCTATATCAAATTTACGAATTTTATTATATGGTTATGTAAAGATTAAATATCAATAGTGAAAATTGCGTACACAAATAACTGTGATAAAATTCATAATAGCTTAACATACCTGAAATATATATATATGGAACATGAAGTATAACATAAAATCGCATCGCTGAAAGTTCGCATCAATATATCAATATGATATGTCCATGTGTTATTCATGAGCTAACCGTCTCTTTCCGGAACAATAACTGGTTGCCAATTATAAATTAATATCAACTTGAAACGCTATGAAGTACATTTAAAAATGGCACATGAACATATCAACGCAGAGCAACGATGGAAAAATAATTTCGCCGTAGCGGTGTGACAGATCTGTCGCTTAAAACTCTAAGACAAACTATCGTCAAGACTTATTCTAACGTTTCCGAACGCATCTCAGGTGGACGCTGCGAATTGTCGAAAATTAGTCACTGGGACGCTTAGAATGGAATAGGTTGTTTTCTTCTGTATCAGCATATACAAGGCGCACACCTGAGCAACATTCAGAAATAGATTTATTTGCGCTACGCTTACAATAAAGAAATGTCACCGTACAAGCAAACAATACAACACCTTCTTGGTTTCCACTGTATGTGCACCAGCAGACAAGGGAACAATATAAAGAAAACAACCTCTAAACGTATTTGTTTGTTCCAATTTTACTCAACTGATCGTAACAGAAATCGTGTGGTAACTGATAATTAAATTAATACATTACACAAATATAATCATCACAAAAAAAAATAAGCTTACAACGTAATCGTTCTTAAATTCTATTGTTATAAACTTGAAATCACTACATTAACTTATTTTAAAATAAGTCTATCGATGAATACAATAATAGAATATGATAAATAACAAAATTCATCGTTATTTTATATTTACAATAATTAATATCTAACCGTTACTACTTAAATGTTTGCTTAAAACAGTATGAGGAGAGACAAATATGTCTGTTATAATATATCTGAAAAGAGGCGACCCCGCGGGTGGTGCGCTTGAGCGCCGCTGCTAAATATCATTTTTTTAACTAATATACGAAAGGCAAGTTGAGGTATTCAGTTACAATGGGTACCGGCGCCAGCGACTGCCCACGGTGCGCCCTCACAACACGTCCTAACCCTATTACACGTTACTTGAGGTAGTTAAGTTCCATAACTTATTGTGTCACTATTACATTATTGCTATGAAGGAAATATTTCTGTTATACAAAAATTTTCTCAACAATATAGTAACATTTATTTTATAATTTGTATTATATGGGTATTCTTAAAAAATTCCCCAGTACATCATTTTCCTTATCCGTGGTTCATTTGTTACTGATTTAACAGCTCTGTACATGTCAACAAGGAGATACCGATGGCTATATGTATAAATGTAAATACATACGTGATATGTGAACATTAAAAATAGTCGACGATATGGTTTGGCAAGATATTCTGACGTCTGTCAGCCAACATCACAGGCTAATTTTTATTGTACAATCAATAATAAATCAGAAATATTTATTTCTATTTTATAACGATAAATATTATTTCAAAATAGAAGGTAAGCTCACTCCCCTTTGGAAGGTTGCCTAAATTTATTGCTCGTTTTAAATATCTTTACTTTTGTGTATATTTCGTTAGGTGATATAGTCGCCGATGAGGTAGATCAACATTGTAATTGTAATTCTATGTGTATAAAAATATTTCTGCAATATAATCAACATTTAAATACAAACATTATCAAAATCAAGTCGATACAATGTCCATATTGCACATATAATTCCGAATACGATTGTGTTTTCTTCACTGAATCTACTGTCGAACAATGAATTGGTGGCGACCAAGGGTGCCACAAAATATTCCGCATGTTGTGGTCTAACACAAGGCGGTTTCTTCCGCTTAGTTCAGTGGGAGGAAAGGCGCAACCATGACAATTCGGGACCTACATAGCGTGCCATCAATGAAAAAATCGTTGATGGTATAATCCAAAAATCGCGTATCGTGATACCCGCAAATTACGCGCCGGAATATTTTGCGGCACCTGTAATTTAAGACCTTTGATATGTTCCATCATACTGCATATTTTTGACCCATTGATGTAAATATGTACAAGTTTATTTAAAAAAAAACGATTTTCACATCGCTCTTTTTCCAGTACCTACGTAAGTCGTTAATACTATACAAAAAACATTTACATTATTTTTTTTTAATTATTGCTAAAGAATTTCATTATCATTAGGCTAAAAATTAAGATTAAATCGTTCGCAACAGACAGTTGGCGGAATTAATTTGGCAACGTTCAGGAAGACTATTTTCCTACCACTAACGAAACAGGAATGTATAAACTAAATTCGTTCAAATAACGCATTGGTAACTTAGAAATTGGGTATAAATTAGTTTCGACACTGCGAAAAAAAATTCAGAATTTCATAGGGGTTAACTATCTTAAAGTTAAAACAAATGTCAACAGATAAAATAATAATAGGAAGCACCGGGAAAATATTAATAAAGTAATAACCGATAAGAAGATTAACACCTAGAACAAAAACGTACAACACTTCCTAATTGGCGCGGTCGCAGGGACGCAATTAGCTTCTGCCCTATATCGACTTCGCAAGCCCCGTGTGTCCAGTACAGGGTGCACATCACACAGGCCATACAATCATATCCCAATAAATCTCCCTGCAAGGGCTCGCTGTCTTCATAGCTACGTACTAACAATTAATGATCAACCTCGTGTAACGCCCTAATAAGACATTTAATTGATGTGTGTCAATTACTGTATAATTAAAATATTTCATTTTAAATATTGAGGCTCAACTATGTGTAACAACTTTTCAATCGGTAAATATATCGATATCGGAAAGATTTAAAATAGTAACAGTTTTTTTTAAGATATCTACTTAGATAATGTCTGGCAATAAGTCCCAAATATTAAAATATTTACATAAATTAATCTAATGGTAAGTATACTTCAAATACACACATCGCTCATTAACATTAACAATTCTAGGTAGAAGACAGTAATTTATCTAAAATTAAACATTTCTACTGTTTTAAAATATATATAAATAAAATAAAGTGCATACATGTTGTAAACGGTGTAGGACGAGTTATTACAAAGACGTAACACGAAAAATAACCGCTGCTGTGACTTTTTAGATCTATATTTTTAATAATTATAACGTAAAACTCATACGAACCGGTCTAAACAATATCGCGGAATTTTGCACCGACGTCACGTAATTACATGTTTAGCGCCCAGACACCCAGACATATAAAGTCACCTTGCATCGAACACAAGGTTAGATTGAATGAACAACAAAAAAAACGAACTGAACTCATGCGCCGGAGTTGCGGCATTTTATGAATATCCGATATTTACTATATATTCCGCATTACCAATATAACAATAAAAAGATTAATATTTAAACGCTTTAAACAATGATAAAAATTATTGCAAGTCCATCGAAAACGGTTAAATGATATGTGCGTGTGATAACCGCTTACCGCGTTCATAACGTTACATCGGCTTACGTTTGTCCAAACAAGTTCACGATGAAGAGGAGGGCGACGTTGAAGAGACCGATGAGGAGGACCTGAGGTTTTTCTTGATATGAATATCTACGTGTTTTACCATATGATCTTTCCTAATGAAACCTTTACCGCAATGATCACATGCGAAAGGCTTACAACCGGAATGCAGACACATATGACGGCGCAAATCGGTCTTGTGGTTGAAAGACTTGGGACATTCGTTGCATTTAAAAGGTTTATTGTCTGCGTGCTTCATATAATGACCTTCGTATGAAACATCATCGGAGAAACGTTTACCACACCGGTCGCACTTAAACGGCTTAGCGCCCGAATGGAAAGTCTTATTGTGTTGCGTCAGATAGCACGCTTTGTTAAACAACTTATCACATTCGTAGCACTTGTGCACGGTGGCCGGTGCAGTTTTCTTCAATTGATTGCGTTCAGTGAGAGGAGTGCTCGTTACTGTTGATGTAATTGAGGGAGAGCCCTGACTCTCATTTTCAGCTTTGGCGCTCTCCGGACTCGCCGGAGATTTCATTTGAGCACCGTAGTTCTCTTTATTAGCGTAATCCATAATGTCCTCGATTTTTAAAATTTGAAGTTCACTAGCATCGGTCCGTAGAACGTCGTCCTCCCGCTTTATCGTTTTACCGCCAACTGCGTAACCATATGGATAAACTTTGATGTTTTCTGAATTGTAACTGATCAAGTTTTCTTTGACTGTCCTAGGTGAAAAACTATAATCATAATCCATGCTCTGTCCACATATGTCAACATTGTTGTATTGCAATGGAGAGTGAACCGGGTCTACGATAATATATCCAGCGGTTGACTCATCAGAAACAACTTGACCCCCCACGTTAGGCTGCGTGACATAGTTAGAAACATAAACGCTGAAGCTCTGCGTTTGGAGCTGCGCGAAACTAGGCAAGCGTCCGCCGGCAGGTTGAATCGACGTTTCCTGTTCCATAACATCGACTTCTTCTGGTGTACCTTCACCAAAAGTAGCCGGATTGGCTATAGGCAGATTGTTGATAGCCATATCCATAACGTGGGGGGCCATCCCGTTTGGGTAGCTCGGTGCTATAGTCTGCTGAAAATTCTGACCCAAATATAAGGGGGTGTGAGTGGGATCCGGAACTGAAGGTCCCAAAGGATCCGTAGACCTCGGGCTGTACGGGTTGACACCCAAATGACTGAACGGCGGCAACGTGTGTGCTGTAAGTGCCGGGGTAGTCTGGGTTAGAACTGGGGTTGAAATATTGCTGGTTGATACTGATAGCAGGCCCCTCATATGGTGATTTTGAGAAACAGAGGGACCTGCTTCCCCGTTTGGGGGATTCCCTGATGATGATAACGAGGTTCCTTTAGACCCTGGGTGATTGTTATCGTTTGGATTACCTATTCCCGGCGGCTGGTTACCCATACTTATGGGATGTGATCCAATTTGATGCTGTAATGGATGATTAGCTAAAGGATTATTACTGAAATTATTATCTAGATTACCCTGTTGAAGATGTGTATATGGTGACTTAGACTGCATTGTAGCGACACGGTGAGATCGCTCAAAGTTCTGCGATGCATACGGCGACTGTAGAACAGCGTCATCAACGCTGCGGCTGTCTTCAGAAGGTACAGGACTTTGCGTGTTCGAGTCGGCGCTTTGTTGCTGGGCTCTTTGTTGAAGTGAATCACGACTTGGGTGGTGATGGCTTGAAATAGGCATGGTAGCTGGATCTGGCTGACCAGATGATCTAACGGCATTCTTATGTAGAGTTGTATTATAATGTCTTTTAAGATGGCCGGAACTAGTAAACCATTTATTGCAGGCAGTGCAGTTATAAGTTTTTGGTCTCCTTGCTTCATTTGATTTCCAGTTTGCCCCTTTCCCCCCAATTGAAGGCATTGCGGATGAACTTGTGTTAGTCGATTGAGTGCTTGTTATCTGTGGTACTGTAGGTGAATCATAAGGGCGGTACGGCGGTTTCATGTCCGAATTAGATGATGCAACTTGACCCGTATAGTCTGCTAACGGCGGCATTTGTACACCGGGATATATTTTTTGCTCAACGTGCATGAAAGGTTTTTGATCATGGTGAACGCTGAGAAACTTGTCCTGAGCGTAAGGAAATTTTTGATCGGGGTGAAACATTTTTGTATCTGCCGGATAACCCTTTTGTTCTACAAACATTTTTTGATCTTTAAAAAGCGACACATCGCCATTCATCTGCGGGTTATTGTATAACTTCTGCGTCTCCCAAGGCATCATTGGAACAGTACGCGTATTAACTTCCCGTGCTCGTGATGGCACTTCTTCGTATGATGTGCTTTGCTGTTCACCCTCGTTTCCTTGATAAACTACTTTTTGCGAATCTAAATCTAAAATGTCAGATGATTCCTCGTGTTCCTCTTTTATTTTTATCGGTTCATTTTGATAACCTGAATTATTGTATTGCTTTACAGGAAATTGTTGAAAAGGTATAGAGCCTGGAGCAGGAGCAGTGCTTGAACCTGCATGAGCTGAATTGCAATGTTCATTGAGTTGAACGGCGGAGTCACAGACAAAACCGCATTTATCGCACTGATTAGGTGAAGGCGATGGTGTTGGTTGGTTCAATGGTTGCCCATAAAGAGGGCTAGATGATGAAACTTGGGACACCCTGTCTTGCATGTTATATGGGTGAAAGCGGCTATGCTTATGATATTCTTGATTATATTGAGTTTGTTCCCATGAAATTTGTTCTGAATGTTGATTTTGAGGGAAATTAGTATGAGCATAATTATTACCGAATTGTGCGCCAGGAGAAAAGTTGGTCTGATCTGGATTTTGATAAGGCGAAGGTGCGCTGTGGTAGCTCTGCGGTGTTGCTGGATGAGGAAACTGCGTCGATGTTTCTGGCGTAGCTCGCTGCTGGAACTCTGGACTTGGCTTGGTGATCATAGTGTCGCTGGAGTCGGCAGGCGCTGACACGGTTTCACTCTTCAGCTTTGTTCCGTTGTTATTATCTGTATCATTCTGAGAGTTTTGCGTGCCCCACTTTACGTATAAGTTCTCTTTATGATATTGCAAGTGCACCTCTAAAGAATCAACAGTGTCCAAATATAGATCGCAAACCTTACAATGATAGTCTCGCGATGGTAAGGTCGAAGACACAGCGCTGCTGTTAGCCATTTAAACCATCAATCCGACGGAGAGCTTCGTCTCCTCCAACGAAAAAAAAATAATAAAAGAACCACACTCCTTGTTTTGATTTGCATGTAGTCGAGGCATGGATCAAGCGCTACAGGTCAAAGTCATGGTAATGTCTGCGTCTTCCACACGATTTCATCTACACTTGCGCGATGTTTACGAAGAAAGTTTTTGGCGGCATTGCAGCGCGGGCGGGCGGCTACACGCAACCACGTGCGCGTTGTAAACACTCGCGACCCGCGAAGCTACGGCTCCACACTTACGATTTCTTTGAGCGCGCAAATAAATGTCCGGCGTCTAATCTTAAGTTCACATAAAAGTTCACTTTGGAAACTTAAAGACAGAATGTTCCCCCTTTATAATTGTCCATATTAACTTATTGTCACGCAGCGATGTGGTGAAATTAACAACGTCTTTAATAAATTAAAATCACAGAGCTTAGAGTTGTTATCAACTTGGCACTTGTTTATGCACGCGGAGGCGCAAAGCGTTGCATAGTATTGGAGGCGGTATAGGCGACACGGGTCAGTCGCCGGGTACGGACGCTACGAACGTTTACTAGCAACTGACAGCCTTCCCGAAGTCGCCTTCGGGGGCATGACTTCAATAACAATTCGCAACGTCGTCCCCCACCGATGCGTGAGTGCGAGCGAGAACAGAGCGCAGTGATGAAGTTATCGCTCCTACGTCCTTTTGTTAGTCCTCCGAGCGAGCGAGACAGCGACGGCGGTTAGCGGGGGGTGCAGTGGTGTTACGCGGGACGGACCCTACTCTTTCTTAAAATTGAAATGCCCGGTCGAAATGTCCGGTGATGCTGCGTCCGAGTGGGATGGCGATAGCACCCACCCTTACGATGCGGGCGGACCGACCCTTAAATGAATTTTCTAAATTTTAAATCTCATTTTAAACAGTCGTAAGGGATTGTAGTAATTTTCAACTGGCACTACTTCCTGTAAATATAATAAAATCAAGGTTACTTTCATCGTGTCATAAAAGGCAAAAATGTGTCGTTTATAATTTGTAGACTCGCTGCATCTTTTAATTAATATTTTGACATTATAGTATGTCAATGACCTAAAATATGCTGTAGAAGATATAAGTATGATATGATACAGCATGACCAGAAATGAAAAGTGGTTTTAGTTTCAAGGTAAATAACACTTTAACATATTTGACATGGCATTTTCATAAAAAAAACCGCAAGCTAATTTGAATGAAGTATTTTTTATTGATAATTTGAAACTTTTAATTTAAATAAAATCAACTTAATTCCCTCACTAAAATTATAAAATCAAATATCCTCTTCCAATCGTCTCATTGCGCGTATAAATAATCGCCTGTTAATAAACATTAAACAAGTTTTTTTTTATATAATAAAAAGCTTGTATAAATTCAATCATTTTGTGTGGGGCATAAGTTAATATTTTCATTTGTATTTTTACAAATATTCCGTTGCGTGCAATCGGCCTCTTTTTAAAATATCCAAAAAATAAACAGAATACGAATATCTCTAATAGAAGGAGGCAAGAAAAGTGCGTGGCCCGGCCGGACAGGCCATGCAAACTATGAGGGGTGGAGAATCGATTTTCTCGGACTATAGCGATCGCTTCACGTCCGCTCCCCTCACCACTTTACATTCGTTCCCTCACTTCCTACTAATATTATCTGGACCCTCTAAATTTTACAGATATTCATTTCCATCCGAATCACGTGTGTTGTGTGATTTAATTAATCCTGCACAGGGTATATGAAAACAAATAATCAATAATAATATAATTTTTTTCAGAAAGCGAAACAAAAAATCGGCAAAATTTTAATCAATCAATGTATCGATACGAATTTTTCAAATTGCATTTCGCTTCGGTTCAAATTTGCAGCAACGACTGTTTTGACGCGGTTAAAAGAGAAGAGTGAGTGAGTTCTGCTCAGTTATCAAAAAGTTTCAAAACATTCACAATTTCGAAACTACCTTTTAGCACGTAATAAACGACGGGGAGGCATAATAACAGGTTAATCCCCGCGCCGCGAACTGTATCACTCATGATATTTTACGACGGACGCAGACTGTAAACATATGGACAAACAAGGAAAGCTCAATTTCGACAGTTTTTCTCTGTTTGTACACAAATGTTCAACAATGTACATTACTTACTGATGGCAAATAAAGCATAGCAGCGATCAATCATTTTATTCATGTCACGAACAACGGTATCGTAAAAAAGTGTCTCATTTGATTATCGCAGTACTGAGCAGTTGTTGAACATATGATGTATTTTATTATTATCAAGATGTTTTTTATAAGTGAACACTTTAGATCGCTTATTTAAGAGTACGGCACGATAGGAGTGATACGTTTGGCTTAGCTCCACATATATGGAGAAGAGATGCGTACACAACGCTATGTACAAATATTTAATAAAAGTATATATAAAATATGTATTAACAATACATAATTAAATAGTCTACTCGTTGTGTCAAACAGTTACAAAGAATAAATATTGTTGCTCAAGAATTTTAAGGTGCCAGATTGACTTTTTGAGTCTGAGAAAAATTAATTATCACTCATAATAACTCAACTAATGGGCGATAACTAATTGTAATCGAAAAATGAGGATTGTGGAGAGGGCGTTTAATTTTACCCAGAGCAATTTTTTTAAAACTATAGATCCTTTGTCTGCTCTCTATGTCAGCAAAATCTGTTAGGGCTTTGCGTCACAATTTCTTGGCAGTAACGTGCAATGAAATCGTTATTTGCAATTATAATTTGATTTACCAAGTGGTCAGGTAACGTAAAATAGCGCGAGGAAACCTGCATAATTTTGAAATACTAATAAAGTCAATATGTGAAGTCTGCCAGTGGCTGTTTCGTGGTGGCCGCTGTCCTAATGCCTTTCGTACAGAGGAGATCTTTGCCCAGCAGTCTGACAAATATGGGATGTTACTTAGCTTTATTTTACTTATACACTGGTACGAATTCGTAGGCGTTATTACTTGCGAGTTTTAAAATTAACACATTGTATTACTTGTATAATAATATGCAAAGAATGTTGTTTAATTTTAATGCTGAAAATACTTAAAGCTCGTTATCGAAATAGGTGATCATAAAATAAAATATCTGTTTTAAGAATTCTCTTTGGTTTTCTAGAGCAATAAAATTTGAACAATTCACTGATTTCACGCCAACGTGAAAACAAAGGGTTATAATAGATAACATTCTTTTAGGAACTGTTTTAATCTCTTCCTACAGTGAATCTTAACACAATAGATATTTTATTGACAGCTGCAAAGCTTATCTTCAACGAACAGTGTAATATAAGTTTAGCGATAATCAAAGAGTTAATAACAATTATTATGTTTCTAAATCTTTTTCCTCAATCTTTTTCTTCTTAATCTGTAATCTTTTTATTTTTATATTATCTCTGTTTGGCGACGATTAATAATAAAAATAATTTTGCAATTGGCTTTGGCAAATGTTCTTCATTATTTTTGTTTGTAATCAAATTGTTAAAAATGATTATAATAAAAACTTGTATGTAAATGAATGAAGCATCGGATTATTTTTTTAAAACCACATACTTTTAATATAAAATAGACTGCGCTTAACCATTCCTCAATGGTGTATGGTGATACAGCCGTGAATAGTAGATGGTACTTAAATTGAGGCCAATAATGTCATGTTTTATATTAATATCAACTACTCATACGGCAGCATGGTGATGTTAAATTAACGTGCATTGATATTGTGTTACTGTTAATTAAGCCATCATTGCAGAAATAGCTCCGACATATTTTTTACAAAACATTGAAAATCTTTAATGTCAAACCGAAGATGTGTAAACCTTGTCGTTACGGAAAGCCGATTGACGCTTAGACAATAGTTAGGAGATGTGTCATGACAAAAATACTACTTATATCATAATACATATGATGAAAGTTAAAGAATAAAATCCAAATAAAATTCGTTTCAATTTTTTGCTTATACATCTGCACACGTAAATTTTATACATTTATTCATGCACACGAAAGAGGCATATGCGAATGCAGTTCGCATTTGCAAAAGAGTACAACAGAATAGAAATCAACAAAACGCATATGAATTTTCATTACATACAATAATATTGAGAATTCTCGTAATTATACTTTTTTTTGGCGCGATTAAAAATTATGAGAGTAAAATCTTTAGGATGCGCGCATACATCTTTGCCACCAACTTGGACCAACTTCACGGTATGATAGTAACCATGGCCGATATCGATTTTTGACATTTAACTATAGTTCCAAGTTATTTAATTAAATCGTCGTCAATTGCATTTAATGTTTTTTTCACAAAAAAGCATATTGATAAAGTAGATAAAATATAAGTTATTTTTCTTTTTTTCGGCTAATGAAGTATAACTTCTAACATGAGCACATAAGTGCATATAAATATTTTTTTTATATTAAGCCCATTACTAGTATACAATAATTATCCACATTTAGTAAATTTTCGCTGTTAAATGTAAAAAATTGCTAAATCTTTATATATATATATAATTCTTCTGTATGGATTACTGGACCGATTTTAATGAAATTTTTTGTGTTTCTTCTCGTAGATCAACCCGAGAATGGTTTAGATTCACAGTTCGGTCCACTGCAATTTATTTGTTTTTTTAAATCTAAGTTGTCGAATTTAAGTCTTGTGTGTGTTGTGACAACGTCTGTCCTGTCCGCTAGTATTTTAATAAAACTCGGAGCGCTTAATAACATTCTACAAAAATCTAACAATATTCCTATTAAAGGGTACAAACAGATGAAAAAAACGACACCGCGTTTATTTGCAACACAACGGATTTAAAGTACGAATACAACACTCAGTTATTATGTTGATGATATTCCAACGGTAGGTGTAAACTATCCAGACATGGAAATCACTCGTATTTCTGTCTCAAATATTCAAAGATTTGCAGACATAAAAGGTGAACTGATACCTGTTGATATATCGG